TCTAATGAAAAACCAATTAGAAATTCGCCTATAGAATTATTACAAAACAAGTAACGCTCACTGAAATCAATAAACAATACTATAAGACAGCAAATAGGATTAGTGCATATATTCAAACGCCATTAGATGAACAATCACGCCGCTTAACACAATTTGTAATCGGAAAACATTATTATGAATTTATTAGACTATTCTTTGGCATCTCGATAGGACCAGCAGCTTTTTCTGCCTTCATGAGTAAACTTTTCAATCCAGTTATCTTAAATAAAAACGTTATCACATTTTTAGAGGGTGTTTTTGCACAATCACAAACAAAACAAGAAATGTTCAAAGCAGCCCCAGATAAATTTCATTTTTGTCTCAACCGTGTAAAATGTCTTGGACATATCGTTGTAAGAAAAACCCTTAAATTCAAGAATGGATGCAATTTTAAAATTTCAAACAACATCAAAAAAAAAGAAAATAGAAAGAATTCTTCGGAATGTTAAGTTTTTTCAGCAAAATGTTTATGAAACGCAATCAAATCTTAGATCAATTTTCAATATACTACAACAACAAAACCATTTTTTTAAATGAACCATGGAACATCAAAAAAGTTTTAATGATTTAAAAACACTTCTAACCGATCAAATATCAAACTCCATTACAGATCCAAACTAACCTTTACATTCAAGGTGCGACGCATCAAATTTTGGAATTGGCGCAGCACTTTTACGATCACATCAAGTCACCAACAAAAAAAATTTGATGTCAGCCAACTCAAAATTTTTTAAACAGGCAGAACTCAGACCTTCTACATTTATAAGACAATGTACAGCTATAATTTATTCATTAACAGTTATGAATTTTCAGTTCTTGGTTCGAAACATCCAAAAATTATATTTACGGATTATAAACCAATAATTATACTTTTTACTCAAAAGTTTTATCCTAGTCATAGAGAACCATATATTTCAACTAATTCAACCAAAATTTCCAAACCTACTTACGGTTTGGAAAGCAGGCAAAACCTTGTTTTACCAGACACACGTAGTAGAAATACACCACCAGAACTACTTACACCAAAAAACAACTGTAGAAATAACACAAAATTTAAAATTTTCCTCGGTAAAGGTAAAAAGTCACCACAAATAGAGGGTAAAAGTGAAGTAAAATTTGAATCTGATTGACATTAAATAAATCACCTAGAAATTTTTACAGTTTAGTTAGATTGCAAATACAATCATTATGAAGTTGAGTCATTAGGAAACAACACATTTAAACCTTCACCATATTCATCATGGTTAAAAAAAAATACACAATAAAAACACATATACAAACGCCACAACGAAATGAATCATTTTCATTAAAAAAAGAAGACCTAATAGATTCCATGAAATTAGCAGGACCCTTAAACACAAACAAAAAATATACCACAAGCAAGTTAACTGATTTAGAAGACCCAGTGAAAAAAATCCCTTTATCATGTCAAGAAATTCAAAATATCTTCCTGCTATGCACTGTCAACTTAACAATTGACCTTTTCAAGAAGTATCAAAATTTTGAATAGGCCATATTGATTCTTGGCATTAAAACAAAATTAAAGCCGCAAAAGCCGACATCACCATTTTGGGAAACAAAACACTACTACTTGATTTTTTCGCAAACTTAATAGCACCACAATAAACGAAAACACCACTATACTAGAATATCATTACACAGATACAAAAATACCCTGTCTACCACTAAGCTTAATTTTAATAGCATTTCTTACATCACACTCCTTGAATACAATAAGACATATAGGATCAGAAAAAAAACATGTCATAATTTTACACAAAAGTTATACTTCCCTACATCACCATTTTGAATTAAAATACTTTGCAATGACTATTTTACCTGTCATAAAAATAAACCCTTCCCACCTCCCAGACAAATTGCTGTAAAACAAGACAAAGCTTATATTTCAATCACAGAATCTTATTCGATACGCAAGCCCTATACCACCATCTTCAGAAGGAAGTTCATTCAAAATAGTTATTGTAGACGCAATCAGACATTTCTTAGCACTAAATCCTGATTCACTCTGCAATGCTTATTACGCATACACAACGCTTCATGGACATTAGTTAGCAAATTTTGGATTACCCGAAATCCTTGTTACAGAAAATGGAAAAGAATTTATTAATAATGAAACAATCACATTGTGTCATTTAAAAAATATTAAACAAAAGCCGATAAACCTCACATGCTCCATGGAAATGGAAAAACGGGTTAGTTGAAGGTATGGACCGTTCATTTACAAAAATATCTCCGAAGTATAATTAATAAACATGATAAAAATTATACTGATTGGTCAACAGATGTTAAATTATTACCACTAGCATACAACACTCAAATTACAACAACACTTAGATCATCACCTTATGAACTGGCTTCCAACCAAAAACCACGAAAACAATAGTTGTCAAAACAAATTTTTCAAAAAGAGGAACAAGGACCTTGTAACCAACGAAAGAGTGAAATTGCTATAATTTGCCACTCCATACCCATGGTGAAGATCATTTTTATCAAACACTAATTTTAAAATTAACTTTAGGCACACATACGGATTGGATTTTATTCAAAGATCAAAAAACACTATGAAATTTATCAAAAAAATTGCTAAGAAACTACTACAGAGACAAATCAGTCAATTCCAAATAAGTTAACGCTTTACACCAGCATCAGACCTCAAACAAAAAACATTTGATTTATTTCCAGATTTTATAAGACAGCAAGGAAACTTAAAAAAGCTACAACTTGTTAGAAAAAGACAATATCAAAGTATAGAAAGACCCAACGATGTATTATACAAATTAATTGATCAAAACAAAGGAGAAATAACGCAACATAGAAATAAGATTTTACCAAGCTACTCAAAAGAACAGGCTATTCGCGAGCTAATTTATTTATCCTCCTTCACAGGACTAGACATTGTTGATACACCGCCAAACAATTTGGTCGTATTAATTTTGTACGACTCAAAACTCCACACTTTGATATTGTTCAAAATTTATAAGTTTTCAATATTTTCGTTCGCAAAAACTTGTCGTTGTGAAATGAAACAAGGGACAGTCGGAACATTCAGAGTTTTGCCCTGACATACGAGTAGTCTTGTTGTTACGACTTACGACTTTAGAAGAAAACGAAATATTTCTGCTCGATGCGGTTTTTTTTATTCAGTCAATTTTCACAAATCAAAATAATTATTTTCAACAAAAATTTTTTATACTCTTTTGAAGATATTTACTTCTTTTGAGTTCAAATGTAAAAAAATGTTTGAGATATTTTTTGTAAAGTTCTGAGGGTTTGAAAATTGCCAAATTTACCATGTTCTCGACTAAATTATGCGCTCTTTAAATTATGCGCGAGTTTATTCATAATGCTGAGATCATAACGCGAAATAATTATGCGTGGCGGATTAGCCCGCACAACAAAATGGTTCCACATTGAATTGAGGCTAGCTAATTTGTCTAGGTATAGGTTTTCAGTATAGGTATAGGTTTTCAAAATGTATAGGTTTTCAGTATTTTCTTTTCCCAAAAATTATTCGATATAAATTAAGGGACAATCGGAACATTCAAGGCTTTGCCGTGATATACGAGCAGTCTGGTTAATCAATTATAATTGATTTTTGAATTCGAATTTCGTAACGAAAATAACGGAATATTTGTGCTCGGGGTGGGTTATTTTTTCTTCAGACAAATTTCGACTTTTTAACTAGCCTTGTTTGAAGGAATTTTTTATCATTCAAAAGGTATTGTTGTCCTGAGCTTAAACTTGAAAAGATATTTCATCTGTGATTATTTTTCGTAAAGTTATGGGGGTTTAAAAATTGCCATTTTGGCCAATTTGGTATAATTAACGTGCGATTTATTTCGAGCTATCAACGCTTCAGCGAAGATATAATCCGCCTTAGAAAACGCTCCAAATTGGTTGAAAGAAGCTTATTTGCCATAAATGATTTGCTATTAGGAGCAAAATTGTCCATTTTGTTTTTATATAGCCTGTGGTGGGGGGGGGGTGTGATTTTCGCAAAAATCTCAAGTTTAAAAAAACTTATTCTTTTCTTACATTTAATTTTTCATGTTTTTACTCCTCCATAGACCTTAAAAGGCAGTAGGAACATTCAGGGCCTCGCCTTGATACAAGCAATTTTGTTTAATTTAGTGTTATAGTCTAACTCAGAAAAAATTTAGTGAGAATTTTCCACCTAATTCAGCCACTCATAGATTCAAAATTTTGCATAAAAAAATCATGACCGTTTTTCAGAGTTTTGTGAATTGTTTCTTTTTTTATTATTTTTTTTGTGCTCGGAATTTTATGTGCTACTTGCACAGCAGCCGGCTATCGTTGTTGTACTTTCAAGATCTTTTGAAATAATTAGTATCACACAGTTTAAACAGAGAGACAGTATTAAATGAAAAGAGCAGTTTTCTTATTTGAAACAAAAACTGCATGCAAATTTAAGCTTTCAAACAACCTTGCTGCAAAAGAAATTTCCGAAACATTAACTGTGCATGCCAAAAACGTTTCCCATTTTTTGTTGCTCTTTATGCTGACTAGGGGCTAAATCTATCATTGGGAACTTTATATGGTGTGGGGATGATTTTCACAAAAAATCTCAAATTTTAATTTTTTCTTTCGTTTTATTTTATTAAATTTAATTCATTGTTCTTGTTATTACTGCTCAATAGACCTTAGATGTCCGTCGGAAAATTCAGGGCTTCGCTCTGATATGGACGGTCTTGTTTCACTTTTATAGACACTGACAATTAATCGATGTTTGGGGGTTGGATCTTGTTGGATCGATGGAAACTAGGCATGGTCGGATCTAGGATTCGGGTCTAGGATTTTAGTGTTGGTTGGCCACAATGAATGCTGTAGAAAATACTAAAGGAGATCAGTGGGTCAAATTTTTGGTTGGGCGACCCACTCAAATCAACCCTAAAATTAGGACCAACCTTTTGTGCTTTTAGAACTCAACATATAAGTGTAGATTGAACACTGTATCGTCAAATGATCTGCAAAAGATAGAGACAAACAACCTTCTGACATTTGAATATGCCCACACTTCAATCACATGTCGGACCTGCTTCTATAGAATCATGCAAGTTGATTACCAGAAATCGATTACGTACCGGAACGAAATGTCAATTGACAGCATTCCACGGTTTAAGTCAAGGCCATTTTCAGAATTTATCCGAACAGCTGCTGAGCGAATTAAAACCAAAATTTTAAAGAACTTAAAATTTAATTTAGTTAAAAGTGAAAACAAATCAAGATTCATAGTAGTACATTTGCGAGCATTTGATCGTCCGTGTGCGCTAAGTGAGTATTCGGGGCATGAAGTTATTAAAAAGCTGGAGCGATATGGAGTGAACAGGAAACAAGATTTCGTTTACATCATGACAAACTTACCCGCAAAAAGTGATCATTTGAGAGCATTGAGGAATTATTTCGGCCAATTTCATATGTCTGAAAAGAAGGATATTTATTTATTCAGAAAAAAGTATTTCGAGAGCATGGGTTCATATTTAGTCTACGCGGTGGAGTTGGAACTGCAAAACATGGCAGATGCTGTTGTGCTGACGTATCCGCCTCATATACAATTAATGAATAGTCCCAATACGATAGGAATTTTAGCATCTGCTGAATGCTTGCCCCGACAAAAAAAATAAACATTTACCAGGATAATGTTTTCGATTACCCGACAAAAAGGCATTGTCTGAAGTTATCTGTCATGTATTTGCTGTCTACTTTAATTAAAACAGTTTTCGTTATTGTTTATGGAAGTTTGATAATTGTGAGTTGACACAACTTATCTATCCCCTCCCCCTCCCCCACCTGCAATTTATCAGAAACTTTTCCCTTGGTTCACCTTTAGCATAGCATGTGAGTTGATTACCCGATTGCAAACACATTTGGTCCACATGAACAACTTCTTAAAATCAATGGTTACTGAGTAAAAATTAATTTTAATTTGCTTATCATTTGAGGGGACAGAAGAGCGGATAGATTTTCTTTTGAAGCTGTCTCATCAAAAGACTCAATTGAAAAACAAACGCCAAAAACCCATCAAGCTCTGATGTACTCCTTTTTTGAAAGTTTTTAGACTATCAAATACCAGCTTAAACCTTCCTTTGAAATGCCTACACTTGAGTTCAGAGCCAAGCAAATTGAATACTCGCGATACTCGCGATTTGCATATTTGTACTTTTGCACACACTTTCTGATAACAAAGTCCTGATGTGATCTTGTTTCCTCGTTTTAACAACGCTGTGCGAAAGGAATGATGAAAATGGATAGAAAATGTTCAAAGGTCTCAAAAAATGAAATTGTCGTTTTTATTTTTCAATCGACTTCACCTTTCTGTTGTTTTATGAAACCATTAAAGACTCTAGGCTGAGTCTTTAACATTTGGTAGATGAAACTTTTTATGCGAATCTAGCCGAATCAAAATTAAATAAAACTTCTTCCAGGCATTGTTTGTCCATGTAACAGAAGCTTTCAGAGAGCGGCCAAAAATATCACTGACTGATTTTAAAACAAAATTTAATTTTTGACTCCAAAACGTTTCTTGCAAAGTAAAGATCTTAGCAAAGAGCTCATATGAGTTTTCTAATGAAGATGATAATCGGAAAAAAATTGAATAACGTTAAAATGAAATTTGTTCGACCTATTTATTTATATTCACTTTCTCAACTCATTCTCCAACATTCACTACCTCCTCTCAATCCTCAATTCAAACCCTCAGATTCTATCTCAGTCTATATCTCTAGTCCTTAATTCTGGTTGCTCCAACTCAACAGGTTATGAGCTCAGAATACTAATTTTTCTGGCATTAGTTTTTAGCTTTTGGCTAGCAGCCTTTAACAACTGAACTGCAAACTGGAGGCTTTTAGTGGAAAGTCTTAAAACTTTCCGGCTTGGTCGAGGAAGTTTGTGGCACTGATGCCCACTAACGGCCTGATGAACACCAAGGTCCATGCACACCACGGCCAGCTGAGCCTACTCTCCCCGAGTGTCCGAACGCTGATCAGCAGGCAGCTTGCGTTACCAAGATGCAGGAGCGACAAGTGTTGGTCTACAGAAGAAAGAAAGTAGAAACACAGTGAGGTCCCACATGGCTCTTTTGCTGAGAAACATCCCTTTGATGTACATAAAGGACGACTGCGTGGGAAAATATGGCTAGGGCGATGGTACGAAGGCCTGGAAAATGCTTCAAGAGAAGTTTTACCCTGTAGAGAGGCCGTAGGTAGTCAGTTTAGTTTTTGAGCGAAGCTGGAGAAAAAATCACGGACACACTGTTAAATGCTCTGGTGATTAATGGGCTACTTGACAGCTATAAACATTTTGTGGTGCAAGAGAGCTTTCAACCAGCCAAGACGTTTCCAGAGCTGAGTATGAGATGGCTCTAATGACAGATATAAAGAGGGATATCAGTGGTTCAAAATGTTGTGGTACCGACGACTGGGGCAACTCAACCAACAGGGTCTTTCATCTCTTGTCAATATGGGCAATCTAAAAGTCTGCGAAGTGTGCACAGCTTCCAATATGCATGAAGTAGCAGTGCCCAAGATGACTGACAGCTGAGCTTTGATTTGTGCTCTGTTTTGGATATATGACATCATCATTGGGTGCAGATGTCAAGATGAGGAGCCTTTTCTCCGAACGATTCGAGATGGATGACAGAAGCGCATTGTCCTGGTCCCTGGGAAGGCAATGGTCCCTGAGAACGCTGTACATGGGAGTGCAAACCAGTGAGCCCACCAGCGGACATCAGTGCACAGCTGTCGAAGAAGGATTGCCCTGATGCTGGGTAAGCAGAGGCAGTGTCCATGAAGATTGAGGGCTACAGAGGCCTTGTGCGCTTTTCATTATACTTAGCTAAGCAAACAAGACCTGATCTCTTAGCTAATATGACGCAATTCTCCCTCTTACTGGAGAATCATGGAAGGATGCCCTGGGGGCAGCAAAAAGGGTTCTTCGTTATCTGAAGGGTAGCGAAAGATCGGGAGCTGTGCTACAACACCAAGGATGCTGATGGTGTAACGCTCTATGGATCCGCAGATACTGACTTCAATTGAGATCTGGATGATAGAACATCAACTAACGACTACAGCTTTCATTTGCAGAAAAACGGCAGGGGTAGCAATTATTTGAAGCACCAAGAAGCAATCACCTGTAGCCATATGAGTACCAAGCAATGGCAGCAGCGCTTTAAGAGGCCCTATACCTGCAATCACTTCTCGATGAAAGGGGCGTGGTTAATGACGGACCAACAGTCATCAAGGAGGAAAACCAGGGCTAAATCAGGATGTAACAAATCCTGTGATGCAGAAGCGAACGAAGCTCATCGATGTGAAAGACCTTTTTGTTCAAAAATGGGTGGAAAATGAGACCACTGATCTCCAATATTGCCCTACTGAGATCACGAAAGCTGACTTGTAGACAAAGGCGCTGAGCAAGGCTAAGGTGGACCAACATCGTCGAAACTTGTTGGGTTGCAGCCTGACATTTGACAAAGCCAATTCAGTCTTAGTAGGAGTGTTGAGGTCAGAACATTCAAGGTCAGGCAGATTGATTGAAGCGATTCCTTTGAAGGTAAAAACTAATTAAAACAGTCAAAAGTGATCAAACTTAGACAAAGTCAAATAGTGATCCCAAAATAAGTATTTAGTCAGTATTTAATTAACTGGTACTTTTGGGATGCTTCGTTTGTCGTTTTGTTTATATTCATTTTTTCAATTCGTTGCTCAACAATCGCTACCTTTTCGCAATCCTCAATTCAAATCTGAGATTCAATGTCAGTCTCTAACCCTAACCCAAGATCGTAATTGCTCTAACTCTGAATCTTAACACATCATAGTTGATTTAAATTGGGTTTCGATTGACAAATAAAAAAGTAGCAATCTTATCCATCTTTAGTTGTATGCACTCAACTATTATAGATATTTTTTAAATCTGACTAAAGATATAGAATGACTTTTTATTTCTGATTTTTAACGAAGTAGAAATGACTACTTAGATATAATTTTAGCTCTTCTTTGAAAAATTTTGAATCCGAAATTTCAACTTGCCAGCGTTTGTTACAAAAAACTTTTGGCCATGAAACACCCCTCTAATCTTTACTTTCCCGTTTTTTTTACCCAAACCCAACAATTATTCACTTGAATATTCGCCGAATTTTTCATGTAGATAATGATTCTTTTTTTACTACTTAACAAGACTGCTCGTATCAAGGCAAAGCCCTGATTGTTCCGAATGCCTCTTAAGGTCTATGGAGCAGCAATGACATGAGAAAACTAAATGTAGTTAAGTCGAATCAACATTTTTTCATAATTTGAGACTTTTTGTAAAAATCATCCACCAAACGCCATATAAGGTACGATGTGATAGATTTCGCTCCTAGTAGCAAATCAATTATGGCAAATAAGCTCCATTCAACCAATTTGGAACAATTTCTAGGACGGATCAAATCTCGAGTTAATAGCGCGAAATATAACGCGAGTTAATTGTCCCAACTTGGCCAAAATGGCAATCTTTAAACCCCTCTAAAATTACGAATAACCATCACAGGTGAAAAACATGTTTACATTTTTTCAGCTTTTATAGCTATTTTAGAGAAAAAAAACACCCACGGCACAAATAATCTATTACTTTTGTAACGAAAGGCGAATTAACCAGACTACTATACGAGCAGACTTTTAAGGCCAGGTAAAAAAGAAAAAACTTTTTTGGAGAATTCTATATTTTCCGGCTGCCCTTTTACTGATCCCTGTAGACGCTAAGTAAAGGGATATATTTAGAGCCTCGTATCCTAAAAGTATGACAATTGACTTTTTTTGGACGTTTACTTGCCCTCGACACTGGCTTCGACGCTTATGATTTGTATGGTGTATTCCTTTGACAATAAAACGGTCGTTTCAACGGTCGGGAAAAACTCGAAAAACATTTAAATTTAGAGTTTCCAGAAAAACTGCTAATGTTTTCCCCATAATTTTCTTTTTTTTTCAGTTTGTTTTTATCTATTACATTTTTTTTAATCATAAGTTTTTATGAAATTTTAGCAACTGTGGAATATGGGCAATTGAACAACTCTCATCAACCTGAACATTTTTGTGAACAATTCAAAATATCATTACTTACTGCAATAAGTTGAAGCTGAACAGTAAGAAAATTCATCAACAGCGGCCAACAAAGAAATTTAAGCAAAAACCGAAAAAAGACTTAATTTAGTTCAAGTTTCAGTTCCTAAGGTTAAAGGGTTTTCGTATTTTTAAGTAACAGTTTTGCTAAATACTGAACCAAAAACTCCATATGAAATAACTAAATTTAAAAACATACGCATAGTTAGCCGCGCTAATTTTCTCCGCCCCCAATGGAGCAAGAACGGGTGCGAGTTTCACGATCGTACGTGTGTATTTGCCGGTTGCCTATCTGAGTGCGGCGGACCGCTCTATGCCGTCGTTGCCGTAGTTCGTTGACTTGCCTTGCGCTAACGGGTAATGGCCACTTGGACTTTTGTCCTCAATCATCAAAACGGGATCTCCAGTTTTCAAGCGGGATTCTGGAGAAAATCATCATTTCGCTCGTTTGTTAAGCGTTGGGACGTACTCACAGAGCCCAGATGGCTTTTTCATAGGATTGCTCTCAGGCGTAGCGCTATCGATGATTGAAACTCTGGTCGAAAAATAGTGGCGCAAAGCTACTTGCGCGGTGTCCAATTTGGAAGTGATTCGGCATTAAGGCTTTGAGATCGTTCGAATCAGAGGATACGGGTGTGA